TAAAGAATGAATTTTTTCAAAGTAAGTCTCACATTCAATATTATAAATGCAAAAATATAGTCACTATCAATCTGAGTGCAAGTCACATATTTAGTGCTATAACTATAAAAAAAATATAGCCATTATAGTAGAGAGTGTTGTATAAGAAGACCAGAGCACGAAGACAATCGTGTCGGGTAGCTCAAAATGATAGTCCAGAGACTTTGGTGATCAACTCACAAACCTAGTGGAAGTAATAAGTAGTTATTATACTCATGTTGTAGCAATTGCCTAAGTGGAAACAAGGAATCTTTTTAGAATTAGATGAATGTTTTCGCACTTCGATGAAACTTGGCGATAACTATGAGGTCTCAATTTTAGAAAAAGAAAGAATTGCTATTAAAATGAATAATAAACTTTTAGACTCTATTTCTAAAGTTTATTATGCTTCTAATATTTGTCAAAAGCTGTTAAGTGTATGACTGTAAGAAAATTAATGCAAAATAAACTATCAATGAAAACTAGGAGAAAAAAGTTATGATTTGTGTTTCAACAAGCACGAGTACATTGTAAGTGAGATAAAAAAAAAAGATTGATACTAAAGACGAAAATGTCATCTAATCGTTCATTTCCAATGCACATCAGTTGTGATGCCTCCTATTGTAACTTTATGATTGTTGATGATAATTTGCTATATCATATGCGGCTCGGGCAATTAATTTGTTGGAACATCAAATTTCTTGCAAACAAAGAATGAATTTTAGGCTTGCAACTATTCAAGCTCTTAACCAACTTTATGAGCACTCTATTTTACAGAAGAAACACAAAGATCCATTTCCTACAAAGTAGGCATAAAGAGCCAAAAGAACCACTTAAACTTGTGCATTCAGACATAGTGTATGTGAAGGTTCCACCAAATAGAGGTAATAAATATTTCATTACTTTTATTAATGATTTCAATAGAAATGCATGGGTATACTTTTTGAAACATAAATCTGATGTATGTGGAATAATCAAGAATTTTGTGGCATATATTAAAAAGTAAAGTGGTCATGCTCTCAAAACTTTAAAATTAGATAGAGGGATAAAATATATTGTTTGTGATAGTTTTTTGAAAAAGTAAGAATCAAACATCAGTTAACAGTTAAGTATGTTTCTGAACAAAATAGAATATCAGAAAGAAAAAATATAACTAGTATGGATATAGTGAAAAGCATGTTGCATTATAAGAAGTTGTCTAAGAGTTTTTGGGCAGAAGCCATGGCTTGTATAATTTATATTTTAAACATATATCCTGTTAAAAGTGTTCGGGATAAAACCTTACAAGAAGCATGGTACGGATGGAAGTTAATTTGAGCCATACGAGGGCATCCGATTGTATTACTTATTTATATGTACCAAATGAGTTAAGAAAGAAGCTTGATGGCAAAGTGAACAAATGCATCTTCATTGGTTACGGCCTGAAAATAAAAAGCTATAAGTTGTATAATCCGAAAATCCAAAAGATGTTGTCAATTTCAGTGTTCATAAATAGTAAAATAGAAACAAGTAATCACACTGGTTAATAGCCTTTTTTTTTTAATTTCTAAGGAGTCATCTATTATCATTCTAGAAGCTTTATCTCCTCCTATACATAGACAATCGCAACGAGATTGTTATTCACCTGCTTATTTAAAAGATTATGAAGTTGGTGATAATAATGATGACATTGTTCACTATGCTTTCTTTACAGATTGTGATCCAGTAGTCTTCGAAAAAGCATCTAATGATGATCGGTGGATTAAGGTAATGGATGAAGAAATTCATGCCATTGAGAAAAATAATACATGAAAATTAACTATTTTGCTAAAAGAGAAGAAATCAATCAGAGTCAAAAGGGCATACAAGATAAAATACATATCTAATGAAGAAGTGGAACAATTTAAAGTAAGGCTAGTTGCAAAAGGATACATGTAAAAATTAAGTATTGATTATTTTGAAGTGTTAGTACTTGTTGCTAGATTGGCACAGTGCATATGATCATTTTGCTTGCACTTCAAAATCATCAAAAAATTTATCAAATTGATGTAAAGTTGGCATTTCTAAATGATGTACTTGAAAAAGAAGTGTACGTTGAACAACTACTTAATTATGTAAAGAAAAGTAAAGAAGATAAAGTTTATTGGTTGAGAAAGGCTTTGTATGAGCTTAAACAAACACCAAGGACATGGTACCCTCGTACTGTCACCTATTTTCTTAATCATAGTTTCTACGAGCATCCGTATAAACAAACTTTGTATATTAAGACCAACAAGGATCGAGACCTCGCCGTTGTTGACCTTAATATTGATGATTTGATCTTCACAAGTAACTAAAGTTTTTGTTAAAATTCAGGGAGGATATGATTTCCACTTTAAGATAATAGATATGGGGGTTAATGTCTCACTTTCTTGGTACTAAGGTCAAGCAAATGGATGAAAACATATTCATTTCCTAAAAAAAGTATGCAGGAGATATTTTAAAAAATTTAAGATGGAAGCTTGCAAAAAATTAACTCCAATCGAAGAAAGACTAAAACTTTAAAAAGATGGAAGCAGTGATTTGGTTGATACATCAAACTTCAAACTTCAAGAAACTTATTGGAAGCTTGAGGTACTTAACAACAACTCTTACATTGTCTATGCAGTTGCTATTGTGAGCAAATTTATGAATTCACCATGACAGTTTTATTAGCAAACTACAAAGAGAATATTGTGATATGGTAAAGGTATGCTTGATAGTGATATTTTATATTCAATTGCTAATAAAATAGAATTGGTTGGCTATATAGACAATGATTGGACATGTAACACTGAAGAAAGGAACGTATTTCGGGTTATGTGTTTAACCTTAGTTCAAGGGCATTTTCTTGGTCCTCGAAGAAACAACAGGTAATAACACTTTCACAACCAGAAGTAAAGTATATAGCAATCACGAGTTGTGCCATTCAAGTAGTTTGGCTAAGGATGATACTTAATGAATAACAACATCAACAAGATAGTGCAACGACAATCTATTGTTATAACAAATCAACAATCTCCATAATATAGAATCCAATGTTTCAATCCTCTTAACAAAGAATCCAATGTTTCATGGTAGTAGCAAATACATGGACATCAAACATCCTGACATCCAAGATTTGATGAAAGATGAAGAGATCATGGTCAAATATTGTGCATCCGGAGATCAAATGGTAGATATTTTTACCAAGATACTTACAGCATATACATTTATCAAGTTAAAGAAAATGATTGGAATGATTGAATCAAATTTGAGGGAGGATGTTAGCAATTAAACTTCATTATATACATATATGTGGCAGTAACTGTAAAGTTGGTAATGACTGACTTATGGTTGCTATAAATATGGCACTAGGCCGTTTGTGAGGTTGAGGGAGAGAGATATTGGGGTGTGAGGCGAAAGAAAATAAAAAAAATTAAGAATGAAATTGATTGGTTCGCTTCAATAAGCTAACACATAAAGAGTTAGAAATCTAAAATTTTTTCTTGTGAGTTTTATAAAATTATGTCATTTTCAGTCAATAAAATCTTGAATGATGATTAGTTATCAAAGTCAAATTTTTAAAGCAATTATAACAAATATAAATTGCCAACAGAAGGACATTTGTATGTATAGATGTACCTTCTCTTGCAGGAGCCATTATCATCCTGAATCCTCTTACTCTTAATGCTTTCCGCTGAGTCGTCAGAGGATCTGTGGCCATCCCAGCTGATCTCGTAACAGGAAAGTGTATTTGTGAAGGAATCAAGAATTTCAGAGGCGAGATCTTCCTTGGTGATTGAGTCAAGATCAGGTTGGTCGACTAGTTTCTGCAGCTTTTTTGCGGACTCACGACCCCGAAGAAGCTCTTCAATGACCTGGATTCGGCTGAACACCATTGTTTTGGTGAGTTGTGTGGCTGTGACCTTTCGGACAACAGTAAGAGGCGAGAGAGAGAGAGAGTGGGGGTTGGGTTTTTATGTTGAAAGAAAAGAGAGAAAGAAGGCAGACACGAAAATTCCTAATCTTCAGGACTCGTCACCTACACGCGCTTTTCTCTAACGACCTTCTTCTCTCCTTCCTTCATTCTCCGCTAACTTACCTGCCCGTTTACCCATTTAATTATAGATTATTTTATCTTTTTATTTAGTATTCAAATTTTGTTCCCACCAATTCTTTTTTTAATTTATTAAATTATTTTAAATTATAATTTTCTTTATAAAAATGATAAAAGCATTTATAAGAATAGAAAACTTTTTATTTTAAATTACGAATTAGAAAAAATTTAAATAATAAAAATATACAAAAACACACTAATAATAAGTTGAGACACACACTTATAAAAAATATATTAATAAATTAATCAATTATATTAATGTAATGCTCTTCAATTTTTTTAATATCAAAAAATTAAATTAAAATTTTAACTTATCATAATTATCTTAACTAAAATAATATAATTATTATAAAATATTTTTTTATTCTAAAAAGATAATACATTTATTAAAATTTAAATCAATTTACTTATTATAGTTCTACCAAAATATTAAAGAGTTAAATTCTAAATCACACTAAATTAAATATTGTACCGATTTATAATATATTTTTATTAAGTACCAAGTTTTACTTTATTAATATAATATTATTTACTTAAAATATTTTTTAAAATATTTAATAAATTATTTTATTTTACACTTATCATATTAAATACTAATCCTATTTATAAAAAGTACATAAAATCTAATCTATATATATATATGTGTGTATTTAGATATTTAAGAAACATTATATATATTAACATCAAATGTGGTTTGAGAGTTTAGAAGAAAAAAGTAGGCAAAAAAAAAAAAAGAAAAACTAAAAGCTTTTGAGATTTTAATATTTGTAGACCATTAATAAATACTTTTCTAAATTTCTATGGTCAAAATGTACTTTAAATAACTTTTTAATTCCCATTACTAACCTAACACAAAACGCCAGATGGTGGAAACAAACGGCAACCACCTGAAAACGTTAAGTTTGAGTTAGTTGGTCGTCAGCATTAGCGCGTGGTCATTTAGTCTTCGAGTCCCTTCAAAAATCAGGTGATGTCATTTCATCACGTCACGCCATGACATCATATCCTCCAACTGACAATTTTAGCTTATGAAAAGACTGATATACCCTTGATTATTAAAGGCCACGAAGCGGTCGAATCCGAAAAAAAGCAAACCAGACAAAAACCAGGTTGTTAGATTCCGTGTTTCTTAAATGTGATTGCTCCAGATATACATGAACTTGGAGATAATACTGTATATCCCACTCATACCATTTCTGGTGTACTTCTTCTCACAAATTGATCCTCGTCATTCAACGCCAGCCGTTCGATAACCCCAAATGCCTGATCCCAGTCTTCAACGGAATTAGATTTCACTGAAACTATCATACCATTAGACATACATATAAATAAATGTCAAGTTTTTTTCCTACAAAAATGTATTTAGGTTAGATCTGCAGTCGCTATCTCCAAGGCCAAAGATATCCCTTAACTTCTCTTCCATTACCCATGAGGGATTTTTTATTTATTTATTTTATATTATGTTTTGTGTTTTTCTTGCGTTTGTATTAAATTTTTTTGAACATATACTTATATTATATTCATATATTAGTTAGCAATGACCCCCTAGGTATTATTATATTATTTTAAATTAATTTTTTATTTGAAAATTTTATTAATGTTAACATCTTAGTACATACTATGGTTTTAACACCCCATAAATGTAAGTATTACAATATGGTCTAATGTTTAGTTAATATTGATTTTTAAAAATAATAATGAAACTAAAAATACATGTAAACTCTTTTAACTTTTCGTTACCATTATGTATAATTTTTCACGTACTCCAATAAGAATACTGTTTTTTTCAATTCCATATCTTGTAAATTTAGCACATTCTATATATTATACTTTACTTTATTAGCATTCAATTAATTGAATTATTATCTAATCATGCTTGATTATATCTAATCAAACATATATATATATATATATATATGAACTTTGATATCTTATTAAAATTTAAATATGTTAAACCATTTTGATTTTACATTTTTAAGTCGTGCATTAGACTTAAACAAAAGAACAAATTCTGCGCGCAAGTATTTTATCTTAGGAATCACCAAAACTTTCTTAAAGAAAATCACAGGTAGAAAACATTATTTCCTCCAAGCTTAGAATTTTAGGATAATATTTGAGAAATAACTTTTTTTCTCTTGTATTCAAGTATTGATAAAGGTTCTTAATCGGCTCTTCAGTTAAGAAAGATCAAAAGTAAAATTATCTGATATCGCATATAATCTTTAAATTTTATTTTATTTGTAAGAATTATTTTTTAAAACTTTCTTATGATTCTAAAATAATTAAGTACCTTAACAAATAAGATTATATACTCTATTTACATACATTAAATGAGTATTTTGATCAAAATATGAGACGAAAAAAGATCCAGACTCTCTAGGATGTCAATTGGTGTTGGACAACATTCTGAAATCAATTTGCCCTATATCGGTTAGCCTCGATGACAAAATTCTCTTTAAGCTGATTTCTGTAGTTCTCTTCTTCAATCAATATTCTAATTTATAATACAAACATATATAGATTTAATTAGTACCTAAATTTCTAAAGTTTAGTCTTTAGATTATATCAAAATAATAAGTACTAGTTTAACTATTATTAGTACTTTAATTAATTGTAATACCCAGTCCTAAAATTTGGTTCAAAATTAATTTTAATATCAAAAAATGTATAAAAATATATTTTTGAAATTAATAAATTTGAATTTAATATGAAATTATGAAAAAAAAAATAGGTTGATGATGAAATTAAAAATAATTTTGGAAAAAATGAGAGAAAATTTGGGTTCGGATAGTGTTTTTGAAAGAAAAATCAGAAATAGGGAGTCAGAATGTAATTAAAGAAAATTTTACCACGTAAGACTACCTAGTCAACATTCTCGACGAACCGGAGCGCGTCGCATGACAAGGTGCACTGACTCGGTGCCACGTAGGAGGCCACGCTTGTGATCCGCGTGCCCTGCGATCTGATGATCCGAAAGCGTTTCCGTGCGCGTGGACGGTCCAGATCCGTTCCCTTCTTATGCACGATCGGACGGTCACGATTAAACGCGATGAATGGTCAAGATTCATTCTCTTTTTAAACGCGATCAGACGGTCAAGATCAAATTATAATGAACGGTCTAGATTAATTTCTTCTTTAAACACGATCAGACAGTCGAGATCAAACGCGATGAGCAGTCCAAATTAACGCGAGACAAATAAAAATAATTTGCATCACACCAAACTCAAACTCTAGCCGCCAGCTTCTCGTCAAAGAAGAAGAACCAGTCGCTGGAGAAGGGAGCCAACCGCTGCCCACCGCCGCGCCGAAGCTACCTCCGACCGCCAAAAAAGGTAAAAATTCTTCTATCCCCTCGAAATTTGATTCCGAGCACCCCCATAGTCAAATCAGAGCAAAATAAATAACGGGTAAGCTAGAAACCGTAGGCAAAACTCGTAACTTCCTCCGATGAGCCCCTTTCCATTTCCTGTTTCGTGCGATTTTTTCACAGTTTTGTTCATCGTTCTGTTTTCTACAGGTTGATCAAAGAAAAATGCTCAACCGCGAAGGTGAGTTGGCGGAGCTGCCGCACTGAAAAATTCCATAATCAGTAGGTTTCCATTTTTTAATTTTTTTTTCGGCCAACCGAGGCCCCCTAACATGTTTTCTCGCAGGGATGGGTATAAAATCGGCCGAAATTGGCCAAAACTAGCCAAAAACGCCCAGGCCAAGGCAAATCGCCGTCGCGGGTGGCGGTGTCGCCGTGCCAGAACTCCAAAATTGGCCGGAAAAGGATTTTATACACCAATTTTAGATTTTGGGGTTATTTTTAGGTACGTAAATTGTATTTTAATCTTCATAGAAAAATTCAAAAAATTCGAGAATCGCCAGTAAGTGCAATAGAAAGTTTGGTGTTTTTGACACCGATTCGGGTACGAATCTTTCACCTTATTTTCTATTATGAAATCGGAGCTTAATAATCGATAATATGATATTCTGTGTAATTTAAAAAATTTTGAGAATAATTATAGGTTACTAATGGAGTTGGAACCGGTTACTTGTTCATTTGTCATGTTTAACTGATTGGTGAATTTACAGCTTTAAATACATGATGATATACTGGAATAGTTAAATTCAATTATGCTTCCTTGATATATATATTACTTGTCTTGCGTGATTTATAATTAATTTGTGAAATTGAAAATTAATATACAAACAGAAAATTGTTTAGTCATGTGAATTAATAAATGGTAGTCTTATTGGATATCCTGAGAGATGGTGGACGGACTGGGTACATAGGAAATCCTACCGTGAATGTTGCCTCATACCGGATGGGTTATCGAGGAATGATATTTTTTGATCTCATAGCGGATGAGATATGGGGATGGCACGATTCACCCTCATACCGGACGGGGTATGGGGACGGCCGATTAGTTGATAATGTTGGATATTAGTTCACGCATAGTGGGACATCCCTATTAACCCCCCAAGGATACCAGTAAGTAAATAAAAAGGAAAGGTTGTTGCTCTTACTCACTTGAATATAAGATTAGAATGTTATTTGAGTTATTGTCTCTATAGTCGATTTTAAAAATCTCACAACAGTAAATATATGCTCTTATGATAAATGAATTTGCTTAAATCAAGAACTTCATTGATTGTTTTCATAATTTTTACCAACCTTCAGTTTTTGTATCGGTGAGTAGTGTGATATTCTTACTGGGCTAGTGTACCTCATCCTTTTATTAACTATTTTATATCAAGAGGATCAAGATCCAAATCCCGATCAATAAAAGAGTTGTAAATAGTTCACCACTTGAACTCCCTTCAAAAAGTAATGAAGGTCGTCCTAGAATACTTAGTTAT